GGAGGTGAACTCGACAAAGGCAAATCCATCTTGGATGGTACATGCCTTGCTGCCTTCAAAGTACTGGGGAAGTCCAAAAACGCTGGATACAAAAAAAACAGAGGGCGCACCTGCCTAGTGCATTACCTTTAAAACACATTTTTTTTTATTGATCTAAAGATAAGTAATATACTCACAAAGGACGAGTATGTCAAGAAATCATCATAAAAAGTGTAGCACTGTCCAGTCCACATTGCACGACAGGCAGTCTGTTTCCATCTGACCATCCCATAGAAAACAGCGGGCTGTGTCTGCTCTGCAGCAGAGGAGCAAACAGACCTGTCATCCACCTGGTCAGCGGAGAAATCCCCTGCTGAGCAAGTGGAACCGCTGATGGGTTCGCCCTGTCTGAAAGGGGCCTAAGGAATGTAGTTAACGATAAATGGATATAAAGATTTACAACTCATTTAAAAAAAAAAAGACTGAAGTCATGATTATCTGTAATTTTTGAAGTGCAATACTACTTTTGGCTTTTCTAGACATCCCCCAACCTCTGAATAAACCCAACCACACCCTGTCAGGGCTCCCAGGTATGACCAGAGGTGTGTGACTGAAGCAGGGAAACGCAGACTTCAGATATGTGATTAACAATGTAATTTATTAACACTAACAATACAAACATAAACGCAGTGCAATACTAAACATAATACAGTGCAAACAAACCCAACCAACCAACACCCACAGATAACAGTATATACAAGCAAGCGTCGTCAGGCAGGCCGAGTCAATATCAATTGGGCAGGTAGGTACAGGGGGAGCAAGCGGAGAATGGTCGGGGTCACAGGCCAGGTTCAGCAGGTAGCAAGCAGCGTAGTACAGAGGGTCAGGCAGAGGGATGGTCAGGGTCACAAGCCAGGGATCAGAAACAGGTAGCAAGCAGCGTAGTACAGAGGGTCAGGCAGAGGGATGGTCAGGGTCACAAGTCAGGGATCAGAACAGGTAGCAAAGGAACAGAAACAGGATGCAGGACAGATACAGGGCCCAGGACAAACACAACACCCAAGGCAGAGTCTGCAAGTCTGGCCATCCCTTAAATACACCAGTATCATCAGTTCCATGTGTTAGCTGGCTGAAAGGTTGAGTCTCTGATTGCTGGGAGCACCCGCTGGCCAGCCCTGGTACTGCAGATCAAAAGGCAGGTGAGTCCCACCATTGCTGGCCAGTCCATTCCTGACACACCCCCTTCTTTTGTTTAACTGCTTTTCCGCTGCCCTATAGCAGATATACTGCTACAGGGTGACAGGGTTGTGCAAAATCACGTACATATACTTGATTTTGCATTTCTGGGTAGGGGGTGTTTGCGAGCCATGCGTGCACCCTACCAACACCGCTATTCACGGCCACGGCTGTTAATCACCGGGTCCTGGCCGGTGATTATTTGCCAGGACCCAGTGATCGGGACCATTACCGACCGAGGGAGAGAACTGTATGTAAACAATACAGTTCTCTCCCCTGTCAGCTCCTGCACACTGTTTTGCATTAGTACAGTGTCAGTGCCATTAGTACAGTGTCAGTGCTTTATATTAGCATTGATCACTGTATTGGTGTCACTGGGGATGTCCGTCACCAAGTCAGTTCGCCCCTCCCCCACCCGTGTAAGAATGCCTGTTGCAGTCTCGCTATAAGTCACTGATCGCCGCCATTACTAGTAAAAATAAAAAAAAAATCCAAGTATATATACCACCATTTGTATTTCATATGGTTACAGTGTTGCATGACCGTGCAATTGTCATTCAAAGTGCGACAGCACTGAAAGCTGAAAATTGGCCTGGTAAGGAAGGGGGTATAAGTGGCTGGTAGGCAAGTGGTTAAGTTGCTTACATCTATGATCATATGTTCTGCGTGTATATTATTACATACTTGCTGGTTGTGTTTTTATTATTCATGTCAAAACTACCTTGCCATCCAAGATCTTTTGAAACATGTCAGAAGTCAGGTTTGTAGCTGATGTAATTGCTAGACTGGATAACACCACACTAGAATAAATACCCATTACTATAACCAAGTAACCCCATTACCCGAACTCACAAGCCTACTTCGTTATTGTGGGGTTTTTTATTTTTTTTATTTTTTTTCTGTTAGAGATTTGGGGAGGTTTAAAACTGCTGGCAGACGTTTTTGCCAGCTATGTCTCATGGAGGAGATTTTACCTTTACTTTCTGTCCTGTGGACTCAACAGGAAGTGAAAAGATAGATTGCCAATGTAAGGGGTATACCCTCTTTTTTTTTCCATTGGAAGATTTTTCCTCAATTCCTGTTCAGTTGGCAACTCATAAATTTCACGGGCTTTGATCTGGACAGTTGGGATGCATCTCCTTAATGGGGTAATTTTTGCCTTTACATACTATTTTTCAGAGCTATAGGTGCAGTTGCATGTAACAGGCCTTGATATTTTGACCGGTTTGTTAAATGAAAATATCTTTACTGTGTTTGGATGAGAGAAGTGAGTTTTGAATCCAGTTAAGTATTTTAAAGGAAACATGGAGCTTGCTATTGCTGTTACATTAATTTGAATGTGCCTGTTTGCCTAGCTGTCATGCTGACCTTTTGAGTCACTAACCCAGCACATGTATATCAGGGCCAGACAAATCCCAGTAACCAGGCATACATTGCTCCTTAACCACTTCAATACCGGGTACTTTTAACCCCTTCCTGCCCAGGCCAATTTTCAGTTTTCAGAGCTGTCACACTTTGCGCGGTTATGCAACACTGTACCCATATGAAATTTTAATCATTTTTTTCACACAAATAGAGCTTTCTTTTGGTGGTATTTAATAACCACTGAGTTTTTTTTTTGTTTACTAAACAAACCTGAAACTTTTGATAAAAAGTTCAATTTTCTTTGTTTCTGTTATAAAATTTAGCAAACAACATTTCTTCATAAATTTAGGTCAAAATGTATTTGCTACATTTCTTTGGTGAAAATGCCCCAAATTAGTGTATATTACTTAGTCTGTAGGAAAGTTAGTCCACAAACCAAGATATATATATATATATATATATATATATATATATATATATATATCTATCTATCTATCTGACAATTGATCAGTCCTGATGTACTAATGGCCCATCTAATTTCTTGAGGCCCGAAAATGCCAGGATAGTACAAATACCCCCAAATTACCTATTTTTGGAAAATCGATCGTTCAAGGTATTTAGTAAGAGGCATGGTGAGTTTTTTTGGAGGTTGTAATTTTTTGTTACAATTTTTTAGAAAATGTAGAAATTAAAAATTTTTTATTTATTTTTTTTTTTTGTTACATATCGTTACCAGTCCAGTACAGCGTTATTATAGAACTGGTGTGGCAGTAATCAGAGACACTAACTGGTGACAGTATGTAAAATAAAAATAATTTTTTTTTCTTTCAAATTTTCTTATTTTTTTATTAAATTTTTTTTTTTCAACACACTGTGACCAAAGCAATACAATGTTACCATAGTAACATTGAACTACTCTGGCAAGTGATCAGGATTTTTTTTTTTTTAACACATTATGATTGCTAATACCAATGTAATTCATTGATATTTGCAATCATTGTTACTGAATGAAACTGATTCATTCAGTTTTTTGTTGTGATTGGACAAAGCTCATCACATGATACAGATGGGCTGTGATTGGCCATGTCTGTATCGTGACTGCTTTGACCAGTCACAGCTAACATAATTGTATACAATGGATGGCATGACATAAAGCCATACACTATATACAATTGACATATGATCTGCTGTGATTGGTCACACGACACTGGCAATGGGCCAGTGACGGATCGTGCTGCTGTGTGGCCCCCGTGGCCGTGTGAGCGGCTTGTTTTTGACAGGACATTATATGACGCACAGTCACAAGGAGGAGTGTCCCCCCAGCCGTCAATATGCTATAGGCCAGGCAGGAAGGTATTAAAGAAGTATGCATAAAAAAAGTGCAGCGCTAATCAGTAAATTAAGGTGCAAAATTATTCCAAATGACTAAAAGGCAATGAAGCAGTCCTAAAATGATTCTAAAATAATGTAAACAAATGTTCCGTATTGCAACCAAAAATGTATTAATAGTCTATATATAACGTTCCCCTTTAAAATCTGCAGTGATGTTCCAAGCAATGTAGAGAGATTGTGCATCTGGTGAGTGCACAATGTAAATGTGCATTAAGAAAAATCCACAGAAGCCTCCTTTAAGGGTCTGGTCTGGGATGGGGAAAGATATCCTCCCTCTAGGTGGTTGATCTGGTAAGGAACACACGGAGATGATCCTCCCTCTGAATAGATGGTAGTAACAGGAGCACACGGGGTGATAAGAAGATCCAGCTGTCCAGAGGTCCCTTTAAGGGATAGGTGGGTTCCGGTGCCTGGATACAGGATCTCCCTTCTCTGGAATCTTTAGTGTTGCTGAATCAGGCAGGTGCTATGAATAAACTCCACCATGGGGAGTGTAGGAAGTACTAATAGTGTAGTAATTAATATATGTAACATTTATTAAAGAGTAACCATAGTATTAACATAAGTAATTCACTCAAATGAATGCAGAGTATGGCAGCAATGTGCAGCATGAGAAAATGCAGAGTATGACAGCAGTGTGCATCGGGCTAACCATCCAGAAAGAGACACTTTTTTGGTGCAGTATTAACCTCCCTAGCGGTCTGATTATGTCAATATTTCTGTGCTCAAAGCGGTACATTTTTTTGCATGGAAATTTATTTTTTTTTTATTGTAGGCCTGTAATTTTTAGGAATAACTCACTGAAATCTGTCCGAACAAGAGTCTAGTAAACATCCCGGGTAGGATAAAACTTAAAACACGAAATCATGAATTATAATTTAATAAATCATAAATATATAATAAATTTAATTCAATAATCAAACCAAAAACACTGAAATTTGAAATAGAGCGGCAAGTTCGCACATCACTGAGCAAAGTCGCAAAATCGTTTTCAGTGTCTGATGACGAATTTCCCCACGAATCATCACTCAATTCTGCAAGTAGTTCTGATTTACTATCGCTGTTCTCTAGCTGGTCTAAAACCGCTTTTGACCTAAAGGGACGCTTTTTGGACGCCATGGACATTTCTCAGTTTCTAGGCAGAAAGAACGGTAAAAATGCAGGCAGGGCACAGGACAAAGCAGTAGGGACAAAATGTATGTGAAATGGTTTGATACAGTAATGTTTTACTATGTGATTTTAGTGTATTGAGTGTCACTTTTTCACATTTTTAAATTTCCCGCCGTTCCGTCCCTGTACGTGCCGACGTCTCAGGGAACGGAACCCGGAAGACAGATGCCGGCATCGGCCGGAGGACATTGCCGGGGACACTGCAGGAGGGACATCGCGGGAGCGAAGGACAAGGTAAGTGCAGAAGAGATCCCGGAGGAGCGCTGCAAGGTATTCCCGAGTGTGGCTCGGGGTTACCGCTTGTGGTGCTGAAACTTTACCCCGAGCTACACTCGGGAATACCTACCGGGAGGTTAAGTCATTTGTCCTTTTTAAAAAAAGCAGTAAAAACGCCTATGCTTTTTTGAGGCGTTTTTTGCATCGGATCAGTGTAAAAGTAGCCTTAGTTCTGCACTCCTGTGATTGAGATTCGGCCGACAGTGGGCAAACATCACGAAGCCAGTACAGGCTCTGCAGGGATCCCGATGTCAGAATCTGCCCAGATGTCTCAGCCTCTCAGCGCTTCCCTGCAGGGGCAGAGCAGAGTGGTGACTGACAGTCACTGCTTTTTGCTGAGAGAGGCAGGGAAAACTGAGCAATATGTCTTTCCTTGACCTCTCATCTCTTACGCAATGAATTTTATGCTAATTGTGTGATTTATACAGTTTTAGAAAACCACCTGAATATTGTGGAACTTATCACTCCTGCTAAAATGTGTAGCCTGGAAATTCCTAATCCAGTATGTTATTATTGCACGCTACTTGTAATATAGATACAGTTGGATTTTTCTATAGGGCTGTTTGCAATTGCTTTAATTCAGCTGAACCTACATTTTTGTAGCAAGCTGCTTTTTTATAGAACCATAAGGCCAGGAAGAGAAACGCACACAATGTTAATCTGATTAGTTTGGGAAAATCCGTTTCTCACAGATTCCTTAGCTGTATGGTCATCAACCGTGATCACTATTGGAGTGTGTGTGTGAATGTGGAGACTATCACTTTTTAAATGTTATCAAGATGTGTCATGACTTTACCAATGTCCATTTTTCTAAACTTTTGTACTGACCCTGTAGTATAGGCTTATGCTGGGGCACGTCTATGCAATTTCCAGTACAGTTGTGGCAGGCAGTTAGTGAAAGTCATTCTATGAGACAGGTCTGTGCAGGAGAATTACAGCATGACGAGCTGTCTGTGGCAAAGGTAATGAGAAATATGTTGATAGTGATCTACAAATGCTGTTTAATATGGCTGTCATTGGATTTAATCCATATTGAGTCACTCAAGGTCCTGGCTGGCTTCAGCAGTGGGCTCATCTCCCTGATGCTCAGGGTTGTGGGCCGTCAATCAGCATGATCATGTATGATGCAAGGCCATAAACACTGCATTGTATGAGGATGAGGCAGGCATGCAACATAAAGAGCAGGCTTTCCAGAAGCAGTCATACAGATGGAGGGGAGGATACAGGAGCAGAAAATCTACACCTTGTCCCTGTACCCCTAGACTCCACAACCTGTTAACCCGAGAGGGGGGGCCCAACTATGTGTTTCTGATTGGAATGTAACCTGTTTGTTTACTTGTAACCAAGCATACCAGGTGCTTTCTATAGGGTAAAAGAAATTGCCATAACTGAATTAAACTGTAATCTGCCCAGTTGAGATTTACTGTAAACCTACAAGAAAGTATTTGTGAAAGGGTTCATTCTAATTTGATATATTTTTTTCTCCCCCCCCAGAAATCGAGCAATAGCAGACTACCTTCGTTCCAATGGCTATGAAGAGGCTTACTCTGTTTTTAAAAAGGAGGCAGAGTTAGATATG